TATGTGAATTTTGCGGCGCTCGTTTGTAAACCAAGGCTAGATAGGAGCTGGCAGGCTTGGCTCCATTCCCTGAGCTCCAGTTCAGGTGTCTGCTGCTCTGGGTTGTGGTTTCCCCTCCTCTCCCAGTCATCAGAAAGCTTTTGCAGGAAGCCCACTGGCAATCAGGTCACCAGCAAAGTGTGGAAGCACAAGCAGGAGAAGTTTTATCTCCAACGAGATTAGATCTGAATTTTCCGGTTTGGACTGGATGGTTAGTCTTGCATATGGTGGGTGATTCCACAGCCAAAGGAAAAATAGGACCCTAGAGGCTGTTGCCTAGACTGGCCACTTAGAAACACAACATCCCTAGAGAAACTAATTTGAGATCCTCAGCCCTGCCCCCAGGCTCTTGGGTATGTACACCCTCAAGAGAAGTGGCTAGACTGCAGAGCTCCTGAAACCTCTCCCCCACACTGTCTTTCCCTTTCTGGCAGCCACGGGCTCTCTGCTAAAGAAGCTTGTTCTGTGCATCTATTTTGTTCGTTTCAGGTAGAACTGCGAGTAAAAAAGTCAGTTTCCTCTTTCTGACATTGATGGGGTGGGGGATTTAGAAGTCTATTTCTGAGAATTTAGGCATTCTTGGTTCTTTGTACTCTGTGACCCTGTCCAGCCTGCCCTGTCCTTGCTTGACCTATCGCTTGAGAAGAGTCAGGAACCAACATCTTAGGGAATGCCCATAAAGGACGCTGGACTTCTCAGATGGAAAGGGCAAAAGAAATCAAAGACTGCTCTTATCTTCTTCCAGATAGTGGGGATAAAAACAGTCCAGCCCGTGCCCTCTCTTGCCTCACTTGGCCAGTGGCTGAGTTAATGCAAGCCTGGGATTCTCCTGTGTTACGTGAACTGAGCCACAAAGGCTGCCAGAGTATCAGCATCTAAGTTGCCAATCCATACAAATCATCTTACAGCCTTCCTTGGGTCCAGAAGGAGGCTTACTCTGTCCTGACCTCAGAAGCCACCTTGCCCCATCTACCAGTACTTCCTTCATCCTGTATTTGGGCATCACATCTGTCAATTGACACTCAGAAAATATTTTTAGCTACCAACTGTGACACAAACTTTATCCCCATTCATAACTGGGGTGATGAGAGGGCAGGGAGTTGGAGGAAAATCTACCAGCCATAGAACTGACAACACCTTGAAAGCGCTTGCTAAAAGACAGTTCTGCTCATGCCCCTAATTTTCTGGATGTAGACGAAGCACCTCACCAGGGCTATTCAGACTCTTGACCATGTCCCAGCCTGTCCCAGCCCCCAGCAATCCCTCCCTCTCTTTCCCTGTGGGTCCCGTTCTCTACCCACAGGCATACATCAGTATTCTTGGAACTCGTGCATCTCCCTGCTCTGGGTTTCACTTTTCCCATCACTTGCAGTGGTTCACCTGCAAGATTTCCTCTTCCTTCACCTTGTGAACCTCTTATGCCCTGTGGAGTCTTTACTGATCTACCCTGTGTCACAGCCCTGGACACACCTCCACGAGAGCATTTGTTGCACTAGAAGTTTGCTCAGCTACCTTGCACAAAGCCTTTGAAGGGTCTTTCCTGTAGCCTTGGCCAACTAGGTCTCAAAGATTTATAGAGCTATGTCAGGAAGAATGATTCAAAATATAAGTAAGGCCACAGTGAGGACAGTATGTTCCTTTGGTGTCATTTAGAAGCTTTGCTTAACAGATCCACACAAAGATCAATGCTCTAGAATTGTACAACCCACAAGTAGCTATTGAGCACTTGAAATGTGGCTACTGCTCCATGTCAAAGTGACAATATTTTGGACTGGTTCTGTTAAATAAAATATATGATTAAAATTAATTGTACCTGTTTGTTTTTGCTTTTTAGTGTGGCTATTAGAAATACTTAAAATACACACATGGCTGAAATTATATATCTAGTGAAGAGTACCACTCTAGAAGAAAGTATCATTGACTTTTTCATTTACTATCAAGGGTTCACACTGTGAATTTATCTGTTAACTTGCACATTTTTTGGAGGGGTCTGGCAGGGTTCCAGTGATTTCTGTCAAGTAGGAAAGATAACTGTAGTTTTATTGCCCGGCAGGACATTAACCAAATTTGTCTTTCACTTTAAAAAATTGTTTTTGTTTTGTATTTATTTTATTTTGGTTTTGGTTTTTTGAAACAGGTCTTTGCTTTACAGTTCAGGGTTCCCTTGAACTCACTATGTAGCTCAGGCTGGCCTCAAACTCTTGGCAATCCTCCTGCCTCAGCCTCCTCAGTGCTGGGATTACACCACCACACCTGGCTAGGTGTATCTTTCTTTTAAATCCTAATTCCTCAAATAATCTTTAAACCAATTTGGTTTCCTTATTAATGAGTTCAGCAAAATCTTTGACCCACGTTCATTCTATATCTGTATGAGATTTGTGATTTTAACTTTCTGGAAATTTTATTTTGACAGATCTCTGTCTCCTGTCCAGCTGAGAGCAAAGACTGAATATTAACATGCCTGGTATTAAGTGAGGACTCCATAAAGGCTGACTGAATACAAAGCACTTGTTTGGAATTGGAACCTTAAGTTTGTACTGCCAACCATATTTCAGCAACAAGCCTGGAAGGTGGGGAATACAGGAAAGGCAAGACCCTCTTTTCAGAACCCCAGCCTCTTTGGGTCATTCCCAGTTCTTGACTGTTATGATTCCAAGGGGATGCTGGCCAAAGCAAGTCCCTTTCAAAGTGAGGGCCCAGATATGTTTTCTATCCCTTCTTGCCTCATGGCTTGAACTCTCGACAGCTTCAGCACTGTGAATCTTTTGCCAGACAGGCCTGACTGTTCTCCAGGACTGAACACAGAGGCACATTCATTATCAGAGGTCAGTAGCAGTGCTGCCCTTAAGAGCCAAGTCTTCTGAGAGCCCTGGAGAAATCTCTGTAGGTCATTAGACCCGGCTAATAATTGTAAAAATATGCCTCTCCCTTTTGCCCTCCTGGCCATGGAGGGAGCTGGCTGGCTGGCAACTGAGGGCAGAAGTTGATTGCAAATTCCTTGAGGACAGAGGCTTTCTATTTGTATGCGGGGCACCTGGTTAGCCTGGTGTGCTGTGGACATCCAGTGAATGCTAATCTACCTCCCCTTTCTGCCCAGCTCCAGGTCCAGAGCCAGCTCCCTTCCAATGGGCCTGATAGATAAACTTCCTGGCCCAGACAGAACACTGCTTAATCATTCCCCACTCTGGGAGTCTGGGCAGGATCAGCTGCTAATTAAGCATCAAGCTCAGGGCTGCTAACCTTTCAGAAGTGTCAGAGTGATTCTGCCCTTGTCTACATTCCTTAAAAAAAAGAAAAAGCAAAAGTTGGTAGAGGGTTTGTTCCTGGAAAAGGAAAGTAAAAGCAACATTTCTTTTGTAAAAACTGTAGTGAGATATACTTGACACAGATTTACTGTTCTGACCATATTTCAGCGCACAGGCTCGGTAACATACAGTCCACTTACACTGTGGTGCAGGTCATCACCACCGTCCATCTCCGGAACTCTTCGTCTTTCCAGACTGAGACTCTGTATCCAGTGAACGCCAGCTCTTTCCCTTCTCCCTCAGCCCTGGAAACCTGCATTCTACTTTCAGTCTCTCTGAATTTGACTGCTCCACATACTTCATATAAGTTGAATCATACAATATTTTCCTTTTTGTGAGCAGCTTATCTCAATTAGCATAAGGTCCTGAACTTTCATCCATTTAGCGTGCATCAGAATTTTTCTTTTCTAAGAGAAATTCTTTTATTTTTCAAGGAAAACTATTCTGTTGTATGTTTAGAACATGTTTTATTTATCCATTCCTCCACTGATGGACTCTTAGGTTGAATATATTTTGGCTGTTGAGATAATGCTATGTATATGCAAATGCCTGCTCAAGCCCTTGTTTTCACTCTTTCGGGTTATATACCCAGAAGTGGAATTTATGCATCATATAATAATCCTGTGTTGAATTTTTTTTGGGGGGGGGGTACCAGGGAATCGCACTCGGGTCCTTGCGCTTGCGCAGCAGGTGGCGAAACCACTGAGCTAAATCCCCGTCCCCTTGTGTTGAATTTTTTTAGGTAAAAGCAACTTGTCTGAGTATCTATTATGTGCCCACTCGGAGTTAGGCCCTTTCTACATAACATCTTTAAGCCACACAACAGTCCCAGAGGGTAGAAATCATCAACTCTATTTTACAGAAAGTGAATTTTCTTTTTTTCCCCCCTATTCGGTAGTGAGGATTGAACTCGGAGCCTTTGCAGTGAACGACATCACAGCTCTTTAAAAAAATTTTTTAAAAGAATTTAAGATAGGGTCTAGCTAAATTTCCTAGACTGGGCTTGAACTTGTCTCTAGAGTGCTGAGATCACAGGCATACACCACTGTGCCTGGCTAGAAAGTGAAGCTTCTGCAAATGAAATCAATGGTTAAAGGTTGCCCGTAGTGATTAGCAGCTGGTTTTGAACCCAGGTCTGCTTGATTCCAAAGCCACACTCTTCCCAAGGCAGCAGGCAATGAAAACAAATAGTCTTCAAGGAGGGCCTTGAAGCTGTTACAAACTAGCACTTTCCTCAATTAACAATTCACACCTTAGCAGGAATTAGTTGCTGACAAGAAGGGGTCATCACTCTCTCTTCACTCCCTCTTTTCTCCTGCCAAACGCACCACCACTGCCTTCCAGATGGTTCCTAGACATAACCCCCTCTCTTCCTCCACAGTGCCAGGCAGCCACCCCGCTGCAACCCCACTGCTCAACTCAAGCCTTGCCTCCACTTGCCTCCACTCCTGGCTTCCCCCTCCACGTCTTCCTGGACTCCAGCCTCCCTCTGGTTGGACACACTTCGGCCAAGTTACTTTATATCTAACTCCCTCTTGGCTGCAAGCTCCCCTAGGGCACAGTCCACATCAAATCCCTTGTACAGCTCACACCTACCGAGGTTTGATGCTCTGTAATTACAATTTGAATTAATGAATCAATGAATGAACCACTCAGCCAGTGACAGTAGGGAAGGCAGGAATAGAGAAAGATAAATTCAGAATTATCCTCCCCTACCTCATGGTTTGTGTGAGACCAGGCTGTTGAGTTGCTTAGAATAATTTGTATGCCAAATTCAGCATCAGTGCGCAAGCCTGAGCCATTTGTGGAAAGAAACTCTTAAGGACAGCAACAGAATTATCCTCTCATAAATACGCTCGTGTGGTTGGTCCAAAGGTGGGAAGGGGTACTTTCAATGCAGGTACAAATTCCTGTCCAGAGGACGCCAGATCGTAAGAGCACAACCTGTTTTTGAGATCTTTGGCACAGCCATTTCTTCCTGCCTTCATTCACCCAGTCATCCCACAAAACTGCAGCAGTACTTGCTTTGAGTGAGGCACTCAAGTGACAGAGGAAAGCAAGGCCCTCTCCTGTGGTGCTGGTGCTCAGACACAGCCTCCTGCCAGGAAAAGTCCTGTGGCCTAGGAGAGGCCCCAGTTTCTCTCAGAGGTGAGAGGCTGGGGGTGGGGGCCTCAGCCAAGGCACTGGACAGGGAAGCAGGTGGCTGTTCCTGAAGTCAAGCCCTGGTTTGCCAGGAAGCCCTGGCCTCGCCTTCTGTGGGCTCAGCTGACGCTCCAGCTTTTGACGTCAGGACTAGAGGCTGACAGGAGCCAGAGAATTGAGGTGGGGCACTAGGCAGGCACACAGAGGGAAAAGCCAGGTATCCCGAGTGGTGTTGCTCATACTCAGAGGGCAGCAGGGCAGTGCCTGAAGTGGGGTTTGGGAGGGCACATTGGCCAGAGGCCCAGCAGGACCTCCATGTGAGGGGCCTTGAGGTTGTTCCCCACCACTGCACACTAGACCAGCTTGGCTGAGAGAGTATTTAGAGGTATTTAATCTGGGGCCAAGAAAATGAACAGAAAGAGACAAAACAGGAATTTGCTCAGAGGGCAAGAATTTGGGATTATTTGTCCAAGAAAGAAGGAAGCACTGAAATGAGCTGATTGTTCATGATTGGAAGGCATCCAGCTGCCACTGTTAACTCAGATGTTTCTCACATCAGCCTTCCAAGATGAGCAGGACTCATCCTTTCATGTAGGCAAAGAAAATGAGGTTCCAAAAGGTGAAGGCCTTGCTGGCCAATAAAGGAGATGGGGTTTGACCCTAGTGTTTCTGTCCTTGGCCCAGTGTTCTTGCCCTCCAGGCTGTCCCTCTTGGCTGCCTGGATCCAATGGGTTCCACATTAGGTAGACTCTGAGAGCAAGGCCTCCAAGTGAGCTGTCTGGCTGCTCCCGGTGGCTCTTCTGAGGACTGGCCAAGTGAAGGATTGGGGTAGAGCAGGCTCTGAGTCATGCCAGGCCTGTGCAGCCCACCACATCCCACCCCCACTCTTAATCAAGATGCCCGGAGCCTTGTGGCCCTGAAGCTTAGTTGCATTTACCTAACCAGGCATTGGCAGGGGTGGCTTGGGGAGCTCAGAGGCTTCATGACTGGGGGAGGATGTCCGGGTTCTGTCACTCAGTGTGCCCACAAGAATACAAATCCTCTAAAATTATTGCTTTTACCTTCCATCAAAGAAATGAGGCTCACAATGCATATTTGGCTGCCAAAGGAGAGCCCTCTGTGAATTCCCTCTCCACCTGGTTACAGCTATTCAGTTGGTCAGTTGGGTTTCAGGAGATGAAAGGCTGCCTGGCAAAGGTGTGGTTGGGCCTGGTTAACTCATTGGCTCCAGCCTGGAAGGAGGGTGGAGAGAGGCTTTACTCACCACTGGGCTCTCCTTTCTGGGCACAGGCATGATTCCCCTGCTTGTGTCACTCAGAAATGCTCTACTTGGTCACAAGGGAGAGGGTGGATGGCCAAGCTCAAACCCTCCCACTCTGCTCAGAAAACTTTCTAGTTCCCTGACTCCCTAGAACAGACCTGGTACATCATCACATTCATGGCGCATCAATATGTCAAATGTCTGATAGATCTCATTTAATTCTAGCCACATCTTTGAAAGAGGTATTGTCTGTACTCTAACGATGAGAAATCTGGGACTCAGGGAAGTCAACTTGCTGGCTCAGGTAGCCAGTGAATCACAGAACCGTGGCCTGGATCTAATGTAATCCTCACAACAGTCACTTCCTGTAGGTATTGTTAGCAACTTTTTATTGGTGAGAAATTAAGACTTGGATAGGCCAATTACAATTGCCTGTAGCAAATAACTGCTAAATGAGTGACAGACCTACAATGGGAGCACAAAGCGCAGTGATGTTTACCATCTTACCTCCCTGCTACCTGTCGGGGAGGCTATCAGCTTCACCATACTGAATGCCCTTTGCTCCCTAGATCTCATCCACCCTCCGCCCCAGCTGCATCCTCTCAGCCAACTCCTAGAGAGTCACATGTTGCTTAATCGTAAATCTCTTCTGAGAAATACCTCATTAGGTGATTTCATGGTTGTGCAAACACCAGAGTGTACTTACACAAACTAAGATGGCTACAATATCAACAGGTGACACAATCCTATGGGACCACCAACATATATGATATGGTTCACTGACAGAGAAGTCACCATGTGGTACATGACTGTATCTTCACAGTCCAGCTCACATGGGCTTCTTCCACGAAGACTCTGACACTGGGCCACTCTGAGCTTCTCCTCCCTCTCCTTTCCTATCTCTAGTCACATTTACTAAATGTGAAGGCACTTCATCACAGCTTGTTCACGTGTTTCACAGGTGTGTATCTTGTTCCTGACCCTCCTGTTCTCCCTAAAGAATGATAAGAAATGGTGCCAGGTCGGCCTTGGGAAGTTGATGTGGAGTATATAAGCTTCTTGAGAGTGGAGCCTACCATTTTCGTACCTATCATAGCACCTGGCACAGTGCCAACCACAAGGTAGGTGCTAAGTGCATTCCACACAGTTTCAAGTCTGGAATGCCTCCTATCCTCACTGATCCTCCTGAGACCTTTGTGAGGCAGGACAGTACTGAGGGTCTAGTGCCCTAGATAAGGTCCACTAGTTCCCTAGGGGAAGAGCAGGACTGGGTCCTGGTTTCTGATCCTGAACCCAAGGCTCTTTCTCTGCACAAGCCACAGATATACAACCATCTCTCAGAACAAGCCTCACCTGGCTGATTTTCTCTGCTAGAGATACAAGGAGGGTCCTGCTGGGCCCTGGGAAGCATCATCAGACAGGCTTTGAGGGCAGCTCAGGTCAGAGGGAAGGGTGGTAAGAAGCATCTCAGGTGAAGCCCTGGCCAGGCTGTCCATAAGGGACTCACACTACTTCAGGGGTAGCTACAGTTGGGTACCTGCCCTGCCTCGTGGCCATGCAGGAAGCCAGTGGAGGCAGGTGATCAGTTACAGACCAAGACTCAAGTAGTCCAGAATTCCTTCTTCACAAAGAGAAGAAAGGAAAACCACCAGAGACCTGCTAATGCCTCATATGATGAAGTACAGCAGAAGGAAACAGGGCCATTCTTATGGTCTTAGGATTCCAGAGGGAACCAGAAGCAGTTCGGCTGTGGATGGCCCTGCAAGCATCTGTGGAGCTCCCTCATCAGAAAGGAAGATTGGTTTGCATGGAACCATTCTCATTCAGAGCCAGACTTGAAAATGATTTGGGGTGCATCCAGGAAGCTGGCTTTTGTCTGCTCTAAGCCACCCAGCCAGCCCTGGGATCTTGCCTACTGAGGCTCACTGTGACTCCTCACATCATCCTGTGCATCATCTGCACCTCAGGTACCTGCCCAGCACCTGCTGCTTTTCCAAGAACAGTCATGGTCATATTCCATTTTTCCATCTGAGTCTTATCTGCCTGTGGAGGAGGCTGAGGCTGGAGCTGCAATGGCAACCGAGTGTGTGACACCTGCTTCTTGAGAACAGCCCTGGCAGGGGCTGCTTGCTCTATGCGCTGTGCAGTCTCCTTCTCTGGGAAATGCAGAATTA